CAAATCTAGAAAAGCATTTGAGTAATTTGCTGTGTGGATTTATCTCAGTTTAAATTTTTGGCAGAAAACAGCGAATGTTGAGTGTTTTGATAAAATATATCGCAGTTTCTGCCCATATGAGGAAACTAATCTTCGCTTGTATCTATGGATTCCACTGACATAAAGCAATGAAAATGCCACACCAAGGTGCAGAAACATGCACGAATTCGATATCAGACATATTCTTCGGTTTCTACGACAAATATAAGTACTGTACAACGGATGATTGTGAAGTTTACGACCGGGTGCAGGTTTCCACAAGGCTGCATTCCAAAGAATTGTAAATTAATAAAGTATCAGCAAAACGTAGTTAGATACCATGCGCTGGTGAGAACTTTGGAGGCAGCATTTGAGCTGGACATTCTAAGACATTAAAATCACCAATTCTCTCTTGTTGAACTCCCTATGAAATATTTCATTGCAAGAAGACTATTTACGTATATTACCTAAACAGCTCTGAACTCGTTCTAATATCAGATATCGTTTTTACAAGCTAGTATAAAATAATTTGATTTCTTTGTGCTCTCCTCTTAATTGTGAGGTATAGGTTCCTGATCTTCGGTAGACTTCCGCGTAGCTCGTCCCGCCACTCGACTGTCGTAGCTTTGGTTGACTCCGAAAGGAGTAGCGCTAGGATTAAGTATATGTGGTTTGTAGTATGAGATGTGTTAAGACTGTTACTATTGTGAATGGAGTTGATCCTTTCACCAGTTAGTCCTCCGATATCGTTGTCAAAAGAAAAGAGGTAATAGTAATAGATATAATTAGTGAAGTTATTCATACTAACAGACAGAAAAAGAAATGAAGGAAACGTAACAAAAGTCGGCTGATCAAATTTGAAGAATAATATGAATAATATATATATCGGTAATATTGATAATAATAACAGGTGTAGTTAAAGCTGTCAGGAGAGTAAGACGGGAGAGAATATAAGGAAGTTAAACGACAAATTTAGTTGTCTACCCCTGAATAATATATGGGATTTTAAGGGGATAGGCCATTTAGATGCAGTCCTTGTGTCGCTGCATGATTGTCCAGCCTTCGCTTAAAGGCGTCCACAGACGGTACCATAGCTACATCTGCCGGTAATGAATTCTAGGGACGGCAAACCCACAGTGAAAAGAAGTTGGAGAGCACCCGGGTTCTTGCCCTCTAGTGAGTTAACATTCTGGGATTTCCACGAGGGAGCCTATACCTACTCAATGGCAGAACACCTATGTTTGGGTGATTCTGGTCATTTGTTACTTTGTAGGCAGCAATCAAACCCCACATAAGCCGACGGTAGATAAGTGTGAATAGGCCTAATTTCTTCGGCCTTTCATCGTATGGCTTGTTTCGGAGACTAACCACTCCTTTTGTTGCCCATCGTTGGACTCTTTCCAACAGGTTGGCGTCTCTTCTAAGCAGTGAGGGTGCAATAATATTATGCAATTCAAGGTGTGCTCTGACTAATGTATTGTACAATATTTGAAAGAGCTCATGAGTGAGTGCACCTAACTGTCTATGTGTAAAGTGTATGACCGCATATGCCGTCGCTACATTCCCCGTGTATTTAAGTTTGTGTCCATTTGTTCCATTAGAACTTGACCTAAAACACGCTCCGACGTTGAGCAAGACAAGCTTTCATTGCGCATGGTATATCCTGAATTCTGCAGTCTACGGATGCGTAATAATAATAATATATATTCTCATTTCTTACATGAGGGACGCCAGTTTACAGGCATCATCAATTCGATAAGTTACACATAATATTGATAAGCATATTTAGTAAAGATAATATAATAAGGTACATTTTTTCCCATAGCTATGTAGGGTACACCAATTGTATAGGCATGCATAAATATTGTTTTAATAATAATACTATATTTCTCCCTGTTTATTCAGGAACATACCTATTGTACAGGCATGGATAAGTTGTTATATAAATTACACATGATTTGATGTATAACGGATTGACAGTTTGGTTGTTCTTTCTGTCATTAGAGTCAGTCGGAACAGTCTCCTATAAAGTCTGTTTGTGTAGCACATAAAGAGATATAGAGATATTGTCTTCGCATTAACAAAAAACCCAGACATCACTTGAATGTAATACAGATATCTGGGAAAAATAGAACTTGAAGCCAATTCTCCTATATAACTTTGTTGTGAACAACTTCACTACTTTGCAGTTTTTCAGATTGAACGTCATTCCACTGACCACCGCCCAGTGTTCCAGAATGTTAGGATCTTCCTTGAGTCTATCTGAGTCCTATGGACACTTTATCGCCCTCCATATCTTTACGTCTAGAGCGTATAGAATTGTCGGGCAGCTTAGACGACATGGCAGGTCATTGATAAAAATCAAAGCATCAGTGGTTTTAGGATAGATCCATGCGACACCCCTGATGACGAGCTGTGCCAAGTTGATCGGGCTCGATTTACTTTAGTGCAATATTGCCTTTCAGCTAGGTATTCCTTTAACCATGACAGAAGTGGCTTACTTATACCTGGCTGACTTATTTTATGTAAGAGAAGGTCATGGTGAACTGTATCAAGTGCCTTCTCAAAGTGTAGAAAGACCACATGGAACATTCATATGCCAAAATGATATCCAATCGTCCCAAGCTGATAGTAGGTTTGTTACACATGATCTGCCTTTCCTGAAACCGTGTTGGGCTTCGTGGAGTATATTAGACCTATCTAGGTATTCCCTAATGTGATCGTCAATAATACTTTCCAGTACTTGTTATACCACTGGGAGTAGAGCTACTGGTCCATAACTAGTGGCATTTAGCCTATCTCCACCCTTAAAGATTGGAGAAAAGATGACTCTTTTCCACTCCTTTGGCAGTTTCTCCGGATCCACTGAGTGTCGGACTAAGTCGCATAAGGGCCTACAGAGAGCTTCGGCGCACTGTTTCAGAACTGATGGCCTGATGTCGTCACAACCTGGAGACTTTTCAGGTGTTAGTCGCTGTAGCTTCCCAAGTGCTATTGCCGGGTTTATTAGGGGAGTAGCCGCTAGGTCTCCCTCCTGTGAAATAGTAGTGCCACCATTCTGGTCCGTACTTGTAATACCCACACGGCTATTTAACTGTTTGGCGAAGGCTTAACTGAATGTTTCAGCCATCTCCAGACTAGTGAGATAATGACCGTTTGGGCCTACTAAGGTGCATGCCCCCAGGTTAGTTGGTTTTCTTTCCGACATGAATCAATACAAGTTTTTGGGGTTTGCCTGGAGTTTTTTGGCAAGGTTAGCCTGGAATGACTTCCCATCACTCATGATCCTCACGTTGCACTAGTTCCTGAGTTTCAGGTATGATTTCCCACTTTATGTAGATGTGTATTTTCATCACATAACCCGTTCGCTGCTTAGACTGGCCAGCTCCCTGAGAGTTCATATTGCCAATAACCCTCCATGAATAACTGAAGAGCACTATATTTATCTCCATTCAAATTTCTGTTAATGTACATCGGACAATGACGAACTTAAGAAACAAACAAACAATGAATTTTGGCCACCGCTCTGTCATTTCATTTAGACAGAAGATGGCTACCATATTCTCTGTTGGCCTTTATTTGCCAAGAAACAGCTACAGCAAGGAAACAGATGCACTGAGCTAAGTCACTTCTGTGAAGTTCCTTGTACTAACGCAAGCCAGGGTGAAAAGTTCACACAAATTTGTGAACCCATGTAACTTAAAGTCCATGTGCTTTCACTTGGTCTAGCGTTGGAATAAAATATTGCAAAATCAAGGGAGCTATATGCTGTGTCCAAGACAGACCGCAATAAACATTTCCGTGAGTTGACCAGTTCAGTGACTGGCCTGATCTCTTGAAACTATTCAACCACCTCCAGTGACGTAAATTGGTAAAAACATTTGTCATGAATACTGCACTAATTTACACACCTGACTGACACTTTTAAACACTCAGACCAAGCATATTCCCTAAGCTACAGTCTTAAACCTTCAAATGATGGTCAGACAGCTTCTTGTGCAAGATGTTTTATTTGTTCTTCGATACTCTAGAAATCTTATATATCATGATCTCATCTCGGCTTCACAAAATATTCGACTTGGATTTTAGTTTGTAACGGAAAGCTGAGCTTTTAACATAGGGCAAATGTGATAGAGTGAAGTAGCGTAGCAACGTAACTCCCAGGCTTTTATCTGGTTACAAAATAAAGTGTTATCTCCTGTTACTACTGCCTTTAAAGAAAGAGTAGATCCTTAGTGCATTTACATCCAAACCAGTGACATATTATCTCCTCAGACTGAAGACGGATAAGCTATAAGATGCACTCGAATGATTGATACGAGTGGTTAGAGACTTCTTATGGATTTAAATGTACGGATAAAGTGATAACCGTAGCTTCTGCGTGCTGCCCAGAATCTGAAATGTGCCTGTTCTGGCACACTAGAAAGAATCAGAAATCCAAATCAGGATAGAAGCTCGACAACCAAAATATGAAATATATTTCGTGACCGATGATGTTCAGCATAAATGCGTGCGTAACTTATTAGAGACCGTGCAAAGACAAAAGAATAAAACACAACGAATTCCCCGATGACCTGCGTTCTTGACAGCATACCTTCATCACAGCTACTCAACCTGAAAAGTCAGAATCCACCATTTAATCATAATTAAGCTGCGGGCTAGTGATGTTGTGAAGCGATTTATAGCTGCACCAGTAATGTATGGGTGATCACAGGAACCAACTTACTTTAACCAACCTTATTAGCACTGAGTCATGTTACTCTTTGTGAAAGTTTCCTTGTTATAATTTGCGATGATGAATACTAGATATGTTATCATCTGAATCTTCTAAATAAACAAGCAAAGCCATGGTGAAATTTCGCAACATAATTTGCGAGTGATAATTTTCAACCGACGACGTCTGATGCTTTTACTGCTATGGAACATTGCACTTTTCATTGGTACAAAATCAAAATCTAAAGTTGCTATGGTTTAATAACTCAATGAGTGAAAGAAGAAAATATCCGATTAAGAAAACCAGGAATGGGGTTTTTAGAGACGCTCAGAAACAAAATGAAATGGAAGGTAGTTAAGATTTATGGAAATCTATCTATTTGAGTAAGGCAATCGGAACATATTATTTTTGAATACTTCATACCATAGTATAAAATTTTCCATGCAAAAACTAATGAGAAACAATAGGAATTTCCTTAGAAAATCTGGCTGTCTTTATTCCTGTATAGGAAAATATTCACCTGTCAAAACAGAAAGGATGTTTTTATATGAGTTTATAGAAAAACTAGTATCAATTATTTCAGAAGACTGGAGGTTCCGCCTTTTGCCAGTCCCTAAATATATTCCGCTGCATTTGAAAAGACATCCACTTTTCACAAATAATGAGTGAAATGTGCTGCTTAAAAGAAATATCATTTTTGTTTCTAAAATTTTCTAATTCCGTTCACCTCAAACTCCCTTAGATTACAAGAGGGCTGAATATTGTGTATGGTAAAGAATAATAATCTGTATCATACAGCAGCTAGCATTGGCTCCGGCGACACTGAGGAAACTTTGGGGCACACTTTGGGTTCACTGCAGAAAATGCCCCATAGTGTCACACTTTCTGTAGTGGGCCCAAAATTTCTGCTGGCTAGAATAGCTTTTTAAGGCCAAAAATGCAAAATATAATATGTATGGGTTTATGCACACACAAATAAAGATATCTAAAGAAGGAAGAACAAATAAGTCAACCTTGATTTTGAATTAGAATTTAATGAGGGAATGATCGACAGTGAATGGCGATTTGGTCATGGAGAAGAAAAGTTGTTAGTAACTGTGTGTTTTTCTGAGTTTATTTTCAATCTTTCAGTTACAAATAATAGGGAATAGTAGGATGTTGTGGCCTGTGTTAACCCTTGCAAAATGTAATCCTGCTGAGATCTAATTTTTATTTGAAAGCAGTCTCTGATGGAGATAATATCGCATGACTGCACAGGGAGTTGCAGTCATTGACAACCCGATGTGGAATTGAAATCTACACCTATTTTGTTTGTCTGCGATTTGATCACACTTTAATGGTGACCTCATAAAGGTCTCCTAGAGGAAAGAAGGGGTTAGAAATTTCACCACATAAATCACCCTTGGATATACGGTATATCTAAATCAAGTTAATCTACTCCTTCGGTAAGATAATGGGGAAATATTTGAATGTTACGTCGTCTTCTCATAAGGAAGGTGAGAGACATCATTAACAAATTTGATTCATACCTTTTTTGTTATTTTTAAGACTAGCGCCTCATTCCTCACTAGACACCTGTATACAGTATTCTAGGTGAGCCTTATATACGTTTCATAGAGTACTTTAAAAATAAACAGATTGGCAGGTAGCACTTTTGTATATAACCGTTATGGTACCCTTATTTAGGTTAATAACACAAATTGCGTCCTCACTAGTGATGCTGTCATGCGCTTTTGATAACGATGAACCGATTCCTATATCATCCAGGATGTATAGAGAAACACTACCTCCTTTCCGACTAACTATTATGTTTGCTATGATGCAGATATATTCTTTTATGAGTGAAGTGAGGTCAACATCCACTAAAAACCATGTTTTAGTATCTGCTATAACATCAGGTTGGTGTCTTTTAGGTTCCTAAGACTACCTACTTGTTCCTAAGATTACATGTGTTTGTATAACACACTGATACACCTGTGTTCATTCAGCTTGTGAACAGAGGCCTTGGTGACATAAGTTTCTGAGACCTCACTTCACTGATGAGTTTACATGTACCCTGAATTCCTAGATGTGATTTATTTTACAAGGCTTCCTGTGGGCTTACGGAGCAAGAGGACAATACACATCAGTTTAACATAGCAGAATCGTTGTATCACATGAGGACATGGGCAAATCTTTGAGCATTAATAAAGATATTTCTGTGCTACCGGAGGAGTCTAAGATATCTTACCTCTGTCTACCATATTATGGGACTTATTTTGCTATAGGAAAGAAAACGAAATGCAACTTTCAATTTACGCTAACTGATTTAAACACCTATGGATGGCTAAAATATATCATTCAGCTGTTCAGCCTCTCGAGGATCGTCTGTCTATGTACTAAATTCATAACAAAGACGTTTATATTAACTTTGGAAAATATTTTTTTCCCATATAATGTTATGGTGAAACTGTGTGAGAGAAAACATGGTACAGCTCCACGGTCGCCGAATTATTAAAAGAGCATCTGTCATCACAAAAGCACCATCACTATCAGTCAGAATAATCACACTTGAAATTTTTGATTTTACTCTGATGTGAGATGAATAATGATCATGGTTATGAGGCCTTATAGCTGCCACGCAAGATGTCCTTTCCCCTAATTAGTAAAACTCATCTTCATATTTATAAATTCTTCTATCAAAACACTGACATTGACTTGCTGCCCACTGATTAATCAATGATTAAATTATTTTTTGTAGACCTAAATATTTCATCACGGTTGAAGTGCTTGAAGAGTGTAGGCCTGCAAAGTCCAAAATCGCTTACTGGTCAGCCAACCAATGCTCTGGCGAAATTAAATTCTTATCAACGAATATCTTGTAATACCTTAATGGTAGGTGAGTGAATTGTTTCATTTGTGCTATTTAGAAAAAATATATTTTGTTAAGCTTTTGTATTATACATATTGATTAGTAGGTTCACAATCATGAAATGTACCTGACTTCGAAAGAAACAAGTGTACAGTGCTCCTTTTTATCTAATGACAGTTTTCTAGCTAATTTTAACCCGCAACAAAATATATACTAGAATAAATCACAATGATACAAAAATAAAGTTATGCAGTACTTTAGTGTTTCAATCTGTCATTTTTCTAAGAAATAATTAGGTTTTTATATATTTACATTTTATTTTTCAAATTTGTGCTATTGACACTTGTGCACATTTGCATCACTACAGTCTTCTTCGGTGCTGTAATTTCAATCTATCTATTTCGCTGTCTTTAACTCTCTCGCCTTCACTTTTCTCTTACAAGGTTACTTTTCATCTCTGTTGTCTCCAATTTTAAAGAAAAACAACTTGACTGAAAATGGGATTCCTACACCTAAGAGAATAGTCATTTCTGTAAAGTTTGTTAACTAGTATAGATTTTACTGTTTTAATCTAAATTTTGAAATAAATGTCAGAATTATTTAACTTAATTTTAGATTTTCGTATCAATTGATTAGACCGAAGTGCTCGGTCTAAGGTTGACATGTCTTCTTCTTGTGCAGATGCTCCGACGATGTCTGGTCATGTAACTTCAAGACAATTGGTTGATGCTGACTAGCAGGGGAACTATGGGCACTGGATTCGAGCCTCGGTGGGAAAACCACCACTCACTGGGGAATGCAGGTACATCCAGTAGACGAGTCACAAACAGGACGAAATGCGCATGCTGGATTCCGCTGCTAGTTACCATCAACCAGTTAACTTCATAATCGTTTGTATTCAACTGTTCAACGACCAGCGTATTTATAGATTTTTGATTTTCAAATTTTCTATTGACTATTAGCTGATCAAGAAGATTCTACGCAGGATACACCAGCTAACCCTATTAAATTAATATCTAACATAGCTCATGGTAGCAGTCTACCACATCTGCCGGTTATAACACAAAATGACTTAATCACTGACAATGATTTGTCAACAACATCAATGTCAACAGCAATCCCATGTTACAATTTTAATCATCCTAATGGATTTCGTACAGTGTCATCATACAGAAGGAGGAGATTTAATTCTAAATATCAAAAGAAAAGTGATTTTTCACACAGGTTTTTCTTGTTACCTTACTCGCGTTCATTAATTTCAGTGTTTCGTTGTTCGTTTTTATTTTTATTTTTCACAACACTTATTACTTCATTAGACTTTTAAACAATTTTTTGGAACAGGTCGGTAGTAGTTTCAATTTTTATCAGTAAGTTCATATTTTCAGTCATTCTTTTTAGTGTATTACTGAATTCATCTGTGCATACAGACAATATGAACTATGTAGCCATAACAACAAATGAATAAGTGCAATGGAGAATATGAATTTCATTCATACATTTTTTTTAAAAATTTGTCAAGTTGAATATATCTACATGTACAGTAGAGTGTCTTGACAAAAATAAGGCAGTGGAACAGAAATGATAATTCATTTTCGCTATTGGTAACAGAATCTTTCAATTGATGAAGGTAGATTATATGTGTAAATGCTGAGAAATGAAAGTTAGCTCGTTTAAAAAAAACGCCTAACAAGCCAAATAAGCGTAGTCCCAGTCACTTTTCAGTTAGACTGGATGGAGGGTTTCATCATGAGCTGACATCCAATCAAACAAAATCCTTACAAAACCAATACTTGAAAATTAATCTGATGCTCACTAGCGACTGGCCCAATTCAGCCAGTGACCTGGGGTTCTAATGGGAAGCCGTGACCAGTAGGGTACAGCAGGTTGAAGATGAGGCAGTAATTCATCTAAGAAGACTTTGCGAAATGGTCGCTCTATGTCGTGAATTGGCAGAAGTTAGAATTCAAAGCTGGCCATTGGATCGGGTCCCAGTGGCTAAATGGTCTATGAGTTCGTTTTGTAACCAGAAGGTCCTGCGTTCGAACCGTGGTGGTGAGTGCGTACTGCTGGAGAGTTCCAAATTAGGATGAAATAGCTGTCCAGTACTCCCTGGCGGTTTTCCAGTGGTTCTCTAACTGATGTCAGCTCATGAAGAAATCCTCCATGTAATCAAACAAAATCCCTAAAAAACCAATACTTGAAGACTTTTCAGTTAGACAAATGATTTCACTCTCTCTCTCTCTCTATCCAAATGAGATACAGGTGCACTCGGTTGACAAGTGTTTAATATCATAAAATGTATGTAATTGATTAGTTGTAACTCGAATTCTACAAGAGTCATACTGATAACAGCAATTCATTAGGAATAGCTCTTTTGATACTCCTATGAAGTGTCTCAAAATGAACCAATACACTTCTACGCCAGATTTTATTTAGTTTGCTTGTTTATCACTCTGCTCTTCGCTGATAACTTTTATCCTTTGAATACTGAATTGTACTGTCTAGGTTTTTTGTTAACTCATAAAGATACCAGAAATTGTTATAAACTCGTTGAATTGTTTCTCGAAAGCTGGTAATGATGTTTCGAAAGATGAGCACTAATATCACTGCTACAGAATTGTTTCCCACTGCATACTGACACATTAAAAAATTTCGGTTAATAGTTCCCTTCAAACTGATAGCTAACTTCTAATAGGCAACTGGAATAGGCTGTGGCACCGACCTAACCAGATATCTGGTCACTTAGCTGTATACACTTGTGAGGAACTTTGATTATCATTCAGTAATTATTTTATGTAATTATCATTCATTCGAATGAACTGTCGTCAAGATTTGACAGAATAGTTCTAAAATATTTGGGCGCCGAGTGAGAAGTAGACATTTGTAAAATCCCGACTGTCTATATCTATTTATGGAGACGTTAAGAAATTGTTTCACAACTGTTTACCCCCCCCCTACACACACACATACACACTGTGTTTAAAGTGTTTAACAAAGGTAAACCAATATTTGTAAGTCCGAGGTCAAATTTTGATCACAGCTCATAGAATTTTGTTTATCATACTAGTTTTATGACTCATGATTTGACAAAGTTTTTAAAAATAAGAGATGTTCCTTTTATACATAAACCTCTGTTATGTTAATTTCGATTAATTTCCCTGAAGAAGTTCGGACGAGATTGCCGAACGAAACGTTGGAATTAATTATTTCAATATCGCTGAGATTTTACAAATATAATTTTTACAGATGTCTATCATTCATTCATATGAATCACTGTGCATGAATAGTTTAGTAACTATTAAACCGTCTGATATTTATACTAAGTTACAGAAAATGTGTTCCCTGAGGGTAGCAATTCAGCTTTGTTAATAAAGGTCAAGAAGCACATTATCTAAACCGAATGCTTCTTGTTGACTTCTTTTCTGATGTTTAATGCTAAACTATTCACCAATTTCGATCATCAGTTGACATGGCAGACAAGCGAATTCTATAATATTTCCAAGCAGGTCATCTGATAACTGACAGACAAACTCTTTCAATATGGTAATTATTACTCACTGGTTAACATCCTTTGCTAAATACAATGATTTTCTATAGTTGGTCTGTGAGGGTTAGTTTTTTTTACGAGTTGATCACGGATCGATATTAGTTAGAGCACCATTGAAAACCAGCTGAGAGTACTGGACAGCTGCTGTTTCATCCTAGTTTGGGAATCATCGGAAGTACGCACCCACACCACGGGGTTCGAACCCAGGACCTTCTGGTTACAAGGCTAGTGAGCTCATATACCATTCAGCCACTGGGATCCGATTCACTGGTCAGCCCATGAATTCTAACTTCTACCAATTCGTGATTTAGTGCCAGCCCAACCAGTATCGTCAGTGGGACATTCACACTTGACGTTTGGATGGAGCTCACTGGTCACTGCTTTTCACTAGAACTCACTCCAGGAAACTCCGTCCTGGTCGCACTAAATCACGAATTGGTAGAAGTTAGAATTCATGGGCTGGCCATTGAAACGGGTCCAAATGACTGAATGTTATACGAGCTCGCCTTGTAATCGGAAAGTCCTGGGTTCACACCCTGATGGTGGGTGCGTACTTCCGATGATTCCCAAACTAGGATGAAACAGCTGTCCAGAACTTCCTGGTTTTCAATGGTTCTCTAGCTGATATCAATCCGAATCCGTGATAAACACGTAAAAGAAAATAAATACAGTGAATTACTAATTATTTTAATACTGAGTCATTCCTTAATTCTTAAACTCATCTGGTAAATGTCCCATCATTACTTTAAGTCATCGTCAACTGTATGATTTTTAATTGGCTAATATACTGAAGGTCAACACTATTGAATGGTTTACTGACTTTAACACAGCCTAACAACGATAATTTCATTTCTGATTCTTCACAGAAAAGTGTTGCTATGCCATTGGCTGAGTTTGTTTACTTAAAAGATATTATTAAACGTTGTGTTTGTGTTATTTTTTGTTTGAGCAAACTTAAGTCTTGGTTTGATCGATGGGGTAGACTTTTTTGCACTGAGAATTGATTGGATTATATTACCTGTCTAGTTTAGCATACGTAAACTTTCTTAATCTAAATGGATTATTGATCCGCATTTTAGGCGTAGGGTGTTTTCTTTGTTTTGCCCTGTTGCGAATTCGTCTCACACTATCTCATATGTTGTGTCTCGTTTGTGACATGGAAATTAAACTGTAATTCACTTTGAGCATCTGTGTACTGAAAACCATTTTCAACCTTTTTCAAGTTTACGGTTGAATTTTGTGTCACTGTACATTATCATAAAGAATTCTGAACAAAGTTTAAAAAGTAGCTAGTGTTTAAGAAGAAGTGGTTATTTCAATTAGTAATCTAGTTCAAATGAACTACTGTCAAGATTTGACAGAATAGTTCTAAAATATTTGGGCGCCGAGTGAGAAGTAGACATTTGTCAAAAAAATTATATTTGTAAAATCTCACCGAGATTGAAATGAGTAATTCCAACATTTCGTTCGGCAATCTCGTCCGAACCTCTTCAGGGAAATTAATCGAAATTAACATAACAACAGAGCTGCTTTATTCGACCTACTAGAGTTGTCAGGTGACTCGACAGCTACGGATTTCGGGATATGCATTCTGTTGCTGACAGCGGAAGAACAAGAGTTGTTCCTTTTATATATAAACCTCTGTTATGTTAATTTCGACTAATTTCCTCGAAGAAGTTCGGGCCAGATTGCCGAACGAAACGTTGGAATTACTCATTTCAATCTCGGTGAGACTTTACAAATATAATTTTTTACAGTAATCTAGTTCATTATATAACACTAATTAGTGGGGTAGTGCGATTTGTATAAGATACTATATAGATGTTTCGTTGCCTTATATGGTACACAAATTCCAATATGCTTCAAGACGGTTTCGTTGTGCATATCTTATTGGTGTCATTACTACTATTATTATCATCCATTCCTGGCTTTGTCAGTGAATCATAGGACTCCAACAGCACACCTATATATCACTCGGTCTTGTGCCACTGCTTTCAACTGGCTCTGCGACTGCCTACAAGCTTTCAGTTGTTCTTCTCCTTACTATGACCTTCTCCAGCCTCGAACACCCAAGCCGTCACTTCCTACTCAGGTCCCACTCGACAGTATGACGTGTGATACAACTTTAATATCCTCTCAGAGTACGTTCAATCCATCTCAACTTCCTCCTGTTTAGTTCTTGGGCAAAAAGTTCTTGACTGGTTCCGTATCAGGGCATCTTATTTCTTGAGAACTAAGCTTCGAGGGAAAGAGATATACATTTTCTAATTAATCCTCAACACAACACCATAACTTACGCTCACATGTTTGTTCATAAAAATTTTAAGTGTGTAAATGCCAGCAAAAAATATGCTGAAAAATGTTTTATTTATTTTATTGATTCCTTACTTGTTTAAAATAAATTTATTAATAATTTTAACTAATACTATACAATACTGTTTTTTGGGTATACTTAATTCTTAGATGGATTTCAAGCCAACAAGTTGAAACGTCCCACACACCGCCAGTTAAACCCAACACCGGTTAATTATTATCATCTATTGCCTTCATGGGACCGTTCATCTAAATCACTAACTACTCAGATTAATAATACTGACAGACAGGAGGATGAGAATCCAGAAGAGATATGTGGACAACAGCAGCAACAAACGACCCTCTCACCTCCAATACTGCCTCCTCCTCCTCCGCCACCTCCATCAACACTGCCCTTCTCTTCATCTTCACCGCCACCCACATCACATGACCTCGGGGATTCAATGAAATCTCGAAGAAAGTGTTATACAGCTGCGGTAAAAACGTTTACTAATAAGCGTGTGACTGCACATAAGACAACAATGAACAATGGAGCTGTCAGTAATCATAGGTTATATCCAACTGAGAATGCTCCCAGTAACTATGAGGCCTTTTTATTGAACGAATTTTTCACTGCCTTAAATAAAGATAGTCATGATGAAAAGCGAAAAATTATAAGTTATGAACGGTAAGTATGGTTTTTCCGGGCTAATTATTGTTTCAAACAGTGAGATTCACTGACTTCAAAATCTATCTGTCGGTGATCTAATGTAATCTTCAGGAAGCGTTTAATACAGATTTTGTTTTTGTTCACACATCAAACAAAAGAGTATCAGAAACCGTATGGCAATCTATTCCCTAGTCAAAGATCATGAACTGAATTAATCAATGCATAATTAAGTTTAAATGGTTTGAACCACCAAGCTACTGTTATCTTAAATAATACAAATCAGCAGATGAAAATAACTCCTTTTACTAACACATATATAGGCTGACAGAGAAAACAACAATATTTATTGAATATTCAAGTGATGGTTTGTAGGGATTTGATTGATTGGTTACAGGATTTCATCATGAGCTGACACTGGTTACATAACCACTGGAAAACCACCAAGGAGTACTGGACTGTTGTTCCGTCCTAGTTTGGAACTCTTCATCAGTACGCACCTCCCGCCACGGTTCGAACCCAGGACCTCCTGGTTACAAGGCGAGCTAGCTCGTATACCATTAAGACACTAGGACCAGATCCAATGGCCCATGAATTCTGACTTCTGCCAATTCATGACATAGCTTGACCACCAACCAGTGTCTTAGGCGAGTATTTGTCCCCACATCCGACCTGTTGTACCCCACTGGTTACAACTTCCCACTGGGACCCAGGTATCTACCTACCTGAATAGGGCTAGTCACCAGTGAGCACCTCATTGATATTCAAGTATTGCTTTGTAGGGATTTGATTGATTGGCTTCTGACTATTAATTAAGTCAATCTCCTGGTAACCTCCTCTTCTCTTTTATTTAATATTCTACCAATACATCCACTAATGCCTCAGAAAAAAAGTATTTCTATCTGACCGTGGTAACTACACAAGACTGTACAAGAAAAGATCAAATTCAGTTTATTCTCCTTACACTTATATTTTGGACTGATTTTATTTCGAATCCACTAAAATATCACCACATTTCATGCGTATGACTGATGATCAACCCACTTGTTTTCTTCATAGTTTTTTTTGTCAACTTAATAACAGCAATCATTCCGCTAATGAACAAATCATCTCCATTGAATAGCCACATACACGATAACTTTGATCGGAACTGTAGTCCGCAAACATTGGCTTGCCATATTTTACGGTGTTGTGATATTAACAGACTCAATGTCATGAGAAACTATTAAAAATGAGAGGTTGCTTAAACGATATGTCTACTCACAGAAAATTTTCAAAATGGAGTTAGTAGGAAGACGAACAAACTATTACATGAATTCTACATATCATGACTCATTGGTTGGTTGATCGATCATGAGGAAACTCTCCACAGACACCGTTTGGTTCAATTTTATAGACTTTGAAATCTTATCTGTAAAAAGACGGGGTACAAATGTTACTATGGGGTAATGAATGAGAATTAGTATAGGAGGGAATAATTAAATGAAAAACCTATACGATGTATAATACTAATTCAAGAGTGATCTTAGTTGATACTTTGTTTCGTTATAGGTAGTGAATTGGTTGAGCTTGTTGATAATTTCACTTACGCGGCAAGTTTCTAAATTCTAAGTAGAACGCAAGCTGAAAAAATCTCAGCATGTATCTGAACGGCCCATTTGCTTCTAGCTAAGGCAAGATTTTTTATTTTTCGTTAGAAGTGTACTATCCAGTGATCTCTGTCGAACCCCATAGCTGCTAAACTTGCTCAGATATCTGAGTATCGTTGTGTTCATAGTACTACTTATATGGTGAGTGCTACTGATAAGATTTATCAGTAGTATATTAAGAGACGTCCATCAGCATAAAAACATCAAATGGCAGGTAGATACATTTGATTTGAGAGAAGGTAAATGATACAGCGCTGCGGAGATACATGGGGGATGTGAAAGGAACACAAAGAAACACAATATGAAGTCCAGAAGTACCACAATACGAAGATCTGTGCAAATGGTGCTGCGTTGAAGATAAGGTATACATAATTTCGCTATCTACAGATACCAATTCCCATACAGACATTCCTTCACCAAATGTTCATCTTCTAACGTTTCACTTAGAATTCATGGAACCACCATAACAGTAACTTAGCAGTTAGGTTTATAATTCTTAGTAAAACGTGTAAGTTAATGGAAGAAGTGATATATACAATGGTCTTTTAGTTTTCCTGAGATTTGCTTTACAAATACCTATTTATAAATTTGAACAGACCATTTAGAAGACAGATTTCACCAGATGACATAACTAACACAGTTCACAATAACAATAAAATCAAATGCATGACGATTACTCAGTTAAATAAAAAAAGGTACATACTAATGACCCATCATATTTAAATAGGTCAAGTAGTTCATGGTAGGCGAAGGTTGAAGTCTTTTGTGTTTTGTACACACAGTTTAGGCTGTATGTGATTAATCCAAAGTGCTTCTATCACCTTCAATAACCTTGAGTTAGAGTTATGTGAAATGATATGATCTTGCGAAATTTGTCTTCTAAATACCTTATTCAAATTTATCAAAAGGACTAATTGTTTTAATTTTCTCAAACCTAACTATAAGTCTACTTTTAGTATGAAAGTTGGTAGAGGTAGGAACAGGTTTGATATAGTGGTCAAATTAAGAGGAGGGACTTGATGGGTAGATATGAAGTGTAATCAACTGAACCACTAAGCTGTATTGATCGATTCTGCGTTGACAATGTGTCTTTCTATCCAACCGTCAAGTTTAACCGCCCAAAACAACTCACTTTTACTTAGTGTTTGGCGTTTCATCCCAAGCACATAACATCTGTTCAAGTTTGATTGCATGGAGGATTTCATCATGAACTGACATCAGTTAGAGAATCACTGGAAAACCTGGGAGTAATGGACAGCCGTTTCGTCCTAGTTTATGACTCTTCATCAGTTCGAACCCGAATGAAACACTTGTCCAGTACTCCCAGGTTTTCCACCGGTTCTCTAACTGATATCAGCTCATGATGAAATCCTCTATGCAATCAAACAAAAATCCCTACAAAACCAATACTTGAAAATCGATTCAAGTTCTTTATGGAAAATGATCTTTTAGCATATACCACTGATTGAATAGTATGAATGAGTAGCTAGATACTACTCATATCAACTTGTAATGCTTGCTAACCAGATCAATGTGATCTATACGCCACGGTTGACCTCAGCGACAAACAAGTGAAATGGCCATCCAGTGTTTAGATCACTCCGATCTAACTACTAAGCACTGCTGGTTGAATGAGCGGTATTCAACTATTTATTCATATAAACCAAGCAATCAGTAATAGGCACCATCATAAATACAGTTATACCTGTTTACTTAGTTGCTATTTATGGTATCGAGAAGATCACATATTAGGGTTGCAAACTGTGAACACTTTTCCAAAATAATTTTTTCTAATTTCTTAAAAATTAACATGAATGTATTTTTATGCCTTTCGTTAATACATACTACTTTTTTCTCTTTTACATTGTATTCTTTGCTTTATAGGATGCATTTAACAAATTGTCCAATAATTGATTCAAATGAAATATGCCGCCTATTAAGTTTTCAATGTAATCGTATTCATCGTATAGAGAATTTACAAAATATGACAAAACTTGTCTATTTAAATATATCAGCAAATCAATTGACATCAATCAGTGGTTTAGAAACACTTTATTCCCTACGTATATTATTATTAGGACAAAATCAAATAAAACGTATATGTGCATTAGATAATTTATATAATTTAAATATACTCGATTTAAATCATAATCAAATAAGAACTATTGAAAATTTATCCCATTTGACAAAGCTGCGTTCATTAAATTTATCCTTTAATTATATTACCTCTGTGAATGGTTTATCTGGGTTAATAGCATTAACTGAATTGAATTTAAGACAAAATAATATACTACGTGTTGAACCAATCGAGAATGTTCCTAAATTGGCTTGGGTATTTCTAAGTTTTAATAATATTGAAAGGTAAATTGTTGAATTATTTTGTGATTTAATCTTTATTGTACATTGGATGTTATAGCTTAGAATATTTTAGATGATGCCAGGATCTTTCTTTATTGCTAGTGTTGTAGAAGTTAGGTGAACGGTTGGTTGGACTTAAGCCAATAAATATACTTAATATGGAATCGCATACAACAACAGTTTCTAATTTCTTGTACATTAAGAGTTGAATATATTTGATTCACCCTTGACATTCCTTATTCTGATGCTGGTAAAGTTAAAACATCTTTGTTATCGAGTCATTGAAATTTTGTGTTTGACTTTTCTAACAAGACAGTAACACGTACCTTCTAGACGAAAGTGGAAAACCGGTGAATGGAAGTCTTTGATATATAAATCTTAGGCCTTCTAATGTAAATCTGTAAGACCTACCAACAACCCTAAGGAATTATTGTTCTTAGGGGTTGAGACTATGATTGAGCCCTGTATTTGTGAATTATATGAACACAAATCACTGGAAAAACTGTGAGGTAGAACAGACAAACTGCTCCATAGCGTTTAAGTATTTGTTAGGATTACACTATTTATTTAAGCAAAGGAAAGGTATTAGAAGTCCAGTATTGTCAGTATATCTTATATCTTCAACACAAATAAGGAAGCCCACAGTTTGAGACAAAAATCAAAGTGTCCATGAGTTATCACTATTGATGTGACATCTGAATGGACTTTTGCTAGACGTGATTAATGTCTTTGACAAGCAGTTCATTTGGCAGAAACTCATGGCCTCATCAGTCATCTGACTTATTTTTTCCTGTAATTCAGATGCATTTCATCGTCAGTCTAATAGGTAATTGAATATTTTGCAGTAATACAATCTGCGTCAGTTGTGAAAGCTAACTGAGCCTTTTTTTATCCATACTGAGACATTCACTCATTTGAAAAAAAGTTAAATGTTGGCCAAGTTAAACTTTAAGCACCACTAGTGGCCACACCAATGACCTTGAAATTCTCACTAAGCAAGTTAGTGAAACCTGGCAAATAATGTTGTCGTCATCAATAAAATATGCTCGTCGAGGTACTGGTTGATATGACCCTAGTCAACTTCGATGCTACACAAGTCCGCTTTCTACTCAGGAAGAGTCTTGTCGACTTACAACATGTAGATTGTATTTTCCTTCTAGATAAAGATAATTTCATCTAAACACCTAAACGAAGATCTGAGGATGTTATGCATAGGATTAAATGTAAGTGTAGAAATTGGGCACTGTGGTAGAAGGTAATTCTGTATCAGATAAGTTTATTTGATTTAACACTGCATTTATTACTGAATCACTGTGTTTTAAATAGAATAGATTTATGCAATATGAACTTATCAAATGTAAGACTATACTGTAGGACTGGTGAGTATTCGCTGCTTATTTAAGGATAAGGAGAGAAATGGTCGACCACTTCAGTAATTTGGGACGTTATTATTATTATTGCTCCCTTGGGTTCCTAGTGGAACATAGGGCTTCAACTGCACGTCTCCACTTGCTTCTATCTTCTTCTGTGCTTTTCACCTGCATCCATGTTAGTCCATACTGTTTCAACTCCTCTTCACACGATCTCCTCTATGTCACCCTTGGATGTCCAACTCGCTGCTTCCCTTTCAGTCAGGTTCCACTCGAGCAATGGCCTGACGCGTGCGCGATATCACCCAGCGGCCTCCTCATCGAGTGTCCGATCCATCACCATCCACTTTCTCCTGCATTTTTGTTGGTCGACGATTGGTTCTTGTTTTGTTTGTTCCCAGCCATAGTTTCTTGTTGGTGATTCTTTCCAGCCCGGCCGGCCATCTGATCTTCAGTATAGAGCCAGCGAAGACAGTTGTTGGTTGATAAAGGTCTGCAACAGGCTGTTAGTGGAAATATTCTTTGTGACCCGCCCGCCCGCCAAGTTTCTGATCGATCCGTATAGAAGAGCTGACTGACTTGACGCTTGTATTGAAAATCCGACCGAATTTTGTTGTTGATGCTGGCTGAGTGACGAAGATTTCCAGATTGGTTCCAGTTGGTTGGTGAATGTGTTTCTCGCCTGCCTTCCCGATTCTCGCTCGATTTGACATCCTCGTCCGTTCCTCCGTTCCTGTAGTTGAGACAATGCTCCCTAGATAAGTGAATGAATGAGGTTACCTCTTTCAAATCCCTCCCGATGATGATGGTGATTGGCACTGGATGTTTCTGCTGTTGTTGTTGTTGGTTGGTTATTTTCATAACCTCCGTCTTGTCTATATTAACCTGGAGTCCTGTCTTCGCCAGCTGCTTCTTCGACCAGTTTGTCGGTCAGTTTTCGCTTGTAAGTCTTCGATTTTGTGTGACATCAAGCATAAATCATCCACGCGCAAAATCCAGGTCTTCTAGGTTCTTCACTTCGGTCGGTCCAGGATATCCCTGTCTTCTCGTTTCCCACTTACTGTCTGATGCATAATCCAGTCCACCACAATCAGGGATATCATTGATGATAGCTAATAAGCACCCTTGTCTGACTCCTGTGTTTACTCCAAACGCCTCGCTGAGTTTTCCGTTGTGGATGACTTGACATGTGGCGTTGTCGTACAGCTGCTGAATAAGGTTTATGAATATTTGGGGTACGCCGTAGTACTCGAGTAGTTTTCGAATTTGGGACGTTATATCAGCCCTAACTGACTAATTGCTTATGGTGTCTAAGCATGAATAAAAGAGATATTATTGGAACTTTCAAAACTCCTCCATCTTTAGTGCATACACGATATTTGTCTGTCCATTAAGGAATGTGTTTACTGTTCAGTGGATCGCTCCTTCCTGTTTCACGGCTGTAAGAAATAGTGGTTGAAGGTAGAAATTATGAAAAGAATTGCAGTTTTTTAAGATAGTTGTTTTTGTTCAACTTCTTTTTATACATACCGCTTAGTGTTCAGAAATAATAAAGTTAGGCATAGTATTAGGAAGAAAAAAAGTCAGTTGATAAGGCTGTAGGGTTCTGTCGATCAATATGTGTTACAACATGTTGAACCGCTGCATTCTTTGATGGACAATTTAATTCGAAAAAGAATTAAGTTGAGAAGACGTTAGGGTGGTCAGATCAGATATTGTGCACCAATCCATGAAGCCACTGGCTGTTAATCTGGACGTCTTAGAGAGGTGTACAATAGATAACCTGTCGGGCGGCTTGGTAAACTTTTGTTAATGTTGCACAAAATTGCTGAAATTCCGAGAAAAATTTATAAAAATAAAAACGTAATGAGACTGAAATATATGAAGATATACAGGAGTAAGACAATCGCTTTACATCTCGCATGGTTAACAATAATAAAATAAAATGTATAAACCATTACTCAGTTATACATGCATATATGACGTCATCTCACGATATTTGTCGCTCTGGTGCCATATAAAATTTATCAAAGGGACTAACTGCTTCACTTTTCTAAATGATGGTCAGGATAAATCATACATATGCATCAGTGTTAACAAGACTGAAGTAAATTCTACAGTATTGCTGAGAATTCCCCACTAAATCAAAAAATATTGTTTGGAATAAAATAATTGCCACTGTTATTATTACTTCTAAGTCAAGCAAACAGGTCAGTATTTAGTATCCTAAGCCACTAGTTTCCGGTCCCATAAGCATTCTGAATTTGGCATTAGTGCAGTTGAACATAATTCAACTAATTTTGGAGAAGTTATTCAGCTTATTTCTTTTCTTCACGTTCCCAGTGGAACATGGGGTCTCAAGCTGGTGGCTTGAAGTTTCTGTAGCAGTGGTGTTTATTTTTACAGGATGGGGTTGCTAGCCTCATGCCCAACCTTTCCTCTTTACCAGCATTATTTCTGGCTTAGCGAGGTAAAGCAGTGCGTCGGCCGGAATTCGAACCCCGAACCGCCTGCGTGGTCGGCGAACACTCTACCGCTGTGCCATCGACGCACTATTCAGCTTAACTAGAAATTAATAACAGTATTTACCTTCTTTTACGTAATACGCCAAAAATTACATCAACCTGGTGTGGTGAAATATTCGTAACCAAATGATAAAGCTTAGAAAATAACAAAAAATTGTCTTCCTTAGACTAAACCATAAATTTCATTTTACTACTACAAAATCAATCAAATTTGTTTGTGAAAACTATTTTTGAGTCAACAGTTGAACGAAAGACAATATTTCTTTATCGACTGACTGATTTTTTTTATTCCAGATGGTCTCAGATCAGTGGTCTAGCCAGTTTAAACTCATTCGCACAAGTTACACTAGATGGGAATCCTATTGTAGCCGATCCAAATTATCACAAAATGATATATAATGATAGAAGGATTACAAGTGCTAACCATAACATCAATTTTTCAGGAGTAAGTCTCATTTGTTATCAGTGTTAATATTAATAATATTTAGTATACAATTGGTGGATGGTGGCTAGCAGTGGAATCCAGGATGCGAATTTCGTCCTATTTGGGACTCGCTAGCTGGATGTACCTGCATTTCTCAGTGAGTGATGATGTTCCCACTGAGGCTCGAACCCAGTGCCCATAGTTTCAAACGCCAAAACGTTATCCACTAGACCACTCGGGCCACGAGAGCCACCTCCTGTGCAACGGGTCATATTAATTATTGAATTGAATTTTTGATTTTCCCGTCGATTGATTAGACCGAAGTGCTTGGTCTCAGGTTGACATGTCGGCTTCTTGTGCAGATGCTTCAAAAAATTCAATTCAATAATTAATAATATTTATTGATTTCAGGAGAAAGTCACTTTAAATTATGTAGTCTCCCTGAAATCTGAGAATTAAATGTGGTGACAATTACGGATGCTATTGAGAAACTATCATAATTACCTTACTGTGTGCATTCTTTACTGTCTTCGAAGTTTTCATCATTCTTACTAAGTGTAATTTGATTATTTTATTTCCCTTTATGTCCCATTATATTCACTAGAGTGTTCCCAGTGGACTGCAGGCTTATTACTGACTCAGTGACGTAAAGAAGTGCATCGGCCGGTGACCGAACCCCGAACCACATGCGTGGTTGGCGAGCTATCTTACTGCTGTGCCACCAACACTAGATTGTTAGTGTAAAGTTCAAGAATAACATCCCAAGGGATGCGAACGCACGAGTGACCGTCACCCGACCAACCATGAAAAAATAGGAATTTTTGCACAAAGATGACTCATATTTACAAGAAAATGCATGAAAACGCATTAAACAGGTTATCTTTCTCTGACATGACTTAAAAATACGTCCCAGTTATAATGAGGAGTATCATTTGCTAAGTAGGACTGGCTTTTGAACAGGTTTTCACCGAGTTGACTAAAGTTTAGCTGTTTTTGTGAATCGTTTATCTCTCTTATCCTCCAGTCTTCCCCAAAAGCCCTGGATTGAATTACTATGGTTTCCAATAAGACGATAGACGGGGATTAGGTTTAGGGTTAAAGTTAGGATCAGGAGTTATAAATATGGTTAGAGTTAAGAGTAGGTTAGAAAATAGTGTCAGAAATATCAATGAATCTGAAAGTACCATAACCTTCAGTCACCTGGATAAATGGATATATCGCGCATGGTACGATTTCTGTATAGATCATCTATGTATAGACTAGGAGACATTCTTACAACACAGAAACTACAACTATACAGTGTAATATCAAATTTCCAATAATTTTTAGTGTATTTTTCAACGATTGTGTGACTTCTTTTCTTCTGAATTCTGATTGGTTGTTCAAGGTCACTGTGGTTTTGGCCATGATACTTTAACTTCGCCTAATATAATATCAATACCAGACTAATGGTTTTATAGAAAGAAATAATTTTACACTCAAAGAATGACTGAAAACAAAGGGAGGTGGCTAGAAGACAAGACTTACATGGATTCTAGTAGCGCATAATGCTTCTGTCCAGAAAATAACAAACAAGTCACGAAATGTAAAAAGCAGTCACAAAATGTAAAGTATAAACAGGTCGTTCACGCTAGAAAGTTCTAGTGCAGAGAAAAGAATAAAATGCATAACGTTTGAGGCTGGAGAACAAGTGAATTGTAGAGAAACAAAGCACACTATTGAAGGCAGGCCAGATTCACAGACATCAGGAATGTTGTTGAATTTATTGGATATATAAAAGGAGTTACTCAAATTGCAGGTGGTCAAAATGGTTGACTATTCATATTTCATTTTGTAAATTAAATGACTTTTAAAGATTATAAGAGTAATAATATGTTCATTGCGTCGGCGGCATAGCGGTTAGGACGCTCGCCGACCATGCAAATGGCCCGGGGTTCGATCCTCGGCCGACGCACTCCTTTACCTCGCCAAAACCATTAATAAAAAAACTGGTAAAGAGGAAAGGTTGGACATGAGGCTAGCAACCCCATCCTGTAAAAAGTTAAACACTGCTACAGAAACTTCAAGTCACTAGCTTGAAGCCATATGTTCCACTGGGAACGTGAAGGAAAAATTATTATTAATATGTTCATTAAGAAGAAACACGCAATCAAAATAATTTATGACGTTTTTAATATATGTGTAAAACTTGGGCACTGTGGTAGTTTGATAGTAGTGACAGTAATGATAATAATAATATTAATGACGACATGCATGTCAAATGTGCTCAAGACAACACCAACAATAAGAAATCTAAATCATCAGTAGTAATTCCATACAAGTAACGAACCTCAGAAACCTTACGCAGCCAGGAATAAAAGTGGCTGGCATTTAAACCCACAAACTCAATTAGAAACAAGCTTTGTCGATTAAAGGATCCCGCCTGTGGAGCCTTTAAAACAAAACAATTTAGTTTATCTAATACCCTGCCTGACTGCAATGATTGTCAGGTCAAATACATAGGTCAAACTAGTAGAACAGGGGCAGTCAGACTAGCCGAACATAAAAACCTAACAAAATCTAAATTAGTTGACTCAAATAAGACAAGAAATCTAGGGTATAGCCCAGCCATAGATAGCACTACATGCAGTTACACATAACCATACAATAAGATGGGATCGGATGAGTTTTAAAATCTAATGTCACAGGGTGGAGGGAGAGATTGATAACGGTAGCTTTGTTTATCGAATCGACTGCAAACACGTGTAATAGGAATGATTCAACAGCTGTCCACCCAGATATCTGAAAAATTCTACTACCCCAACGACGACAAATAGGAGAGGACAAAGAAACCTATAGAACTCAAGTTTCAAAGTCGTGTGATTACAACTGATGAAATGATTATGAACAATAAATTTTTTCCGAAACGTCATCCACTAAATAATACTGTTTCACTGTGTGATACATCTAATAAACAAACTAATATGGAATTATGATGTTTTTGTTATAAAAAGATATCCACCACCCCCCGTTCACTGAACAATTACTTTTATTTCTCCTTATGCTTAATAAAGAACAGAACAGTAAAACTCAAATGTATCAAATCATCAAATGTAAAGAATAAAACTAAACAGTTATCCGTAAGTCTAAACAATAATACACCATTCAAATACACAAGAGTTATTCACTGTTACACTTTTTTCCCATTTTTTTTGACCTTATCATTTGTTGTTGCTGTTTTTTTCAATGTTTGCGTTTTGACTTAATTAGGATGGATGTCAAAGTATTTATAAATAAAGTATTCTTGAATTCGTTACAGGATTTCACCATGAGCTGACATTGGTTAGAGAACCACTGGAAAACCTAACAAAGGAGTACTGGATAGTTGTTTTGCCCTCGTTTGGGACTCTTCATCAGTACGCACCTACCCACCAACAGGGTTAGAACCCAGCACCTTTCGGTTACATCGAGAGCTCGCAGACCATTAACCCACTGGGCACTATCCAATGGCCAACCCATGGATTCTAACTGCTGCCAATTCATGATATAGGGCGACAACTAACCAGTGTCCTCGGCTAGTATTTGTCCTCACACCCCATCTGCTGTAACCTACTGGTCACGAATTCCCGCTAGAACCTAGGTGGCTACCTACGTGAATAGGCCCAGTCGCCAGTGAGCATCTCATTGAGGACAAATACTCACCGAAGACATTGACTAGTGGTTGCGTTATGTCGTGAATTGGCAGAAGTTAGAATTCATGAACTAGCCATTGGATCGGGTCCCAGTGGCTTAATGGTCTACGAGCTCGCCTTGTAATCAGAAGTTCCTGGATACGAACCATGGCGGTGGATGCGTGCTGTGAGGAGTCTCAAACTAGGAGGAAATCGTTGTTCAGTACTCCCAGAGAGTTTTCCATTGGTTCTCTAACCAATGTCAGCTCATGATGAAATCCTGTAGCTCTACACTTTATGTAAATGAATATTAGAAAAATAGATATACCAAAGCAACTTATTTCATATATTACAAAGGAATTCATGGACGCTTGAAATCGACGACAAGCGGCTATTTAAATAACCCCATTTCGTTGTGAATGAAGAAAATAACCGCTTATTTTTGTTTTTCTTCTTCGCATTAACTCTCACTAAAGCCTATTAAAAAAAATGAAACAAACAATAGAAGTCGTATGAATGAAAATTGTCGGAAATCTACAGCGCCAAGATTATCACTATCGTCATCATCATCATCTGGAAATGAAGAGGGTTTACAATCTGGACTACAGTTAACACCGACAACATTTGTAAATAGTTTGGCAAATCATTTAAAAGGGAATACCAATTGTGAACAAAATAAAAATACACTAGAAATCAATGGTGAAAGAAAGTTAGTGTACTTAATAATTGTATCACTCTAATGATTTAGATATTATAATTTCTTGGAAGTTATTTTCAGTGATAGTCATGAATAATTCAACTAAATTGAAAACGATATTAATTAGAAGCAGTCATCATCTCCTCAATGGATTCCTAAAGACAATCCTGGTACCACTACTATGCTTTGCATCAATATTCTGTTATAACCATTTAACTGTTATAAATTGAAGTGGGTCTTGTAGCATTTGATAAATAAGTCGAAAACAGGAAGATTATACGAAGAAATATTCACTTTTCAATTAGATTCTCATCTCACTCTGACTCTACTCTAATATATACGTATAGCATTTCTATTACAATACACAACAGTTTACCAACCAAGTGGCACTGATATGGTTGTTAACAATAATTAGTCAGTGTCGAAATGTCAATAGGGTGATAATTAACGAAGAAGAAAATCAATACACATTTATAAGGTGAAAATGGCTAGAATAAATTAATTTTACAAGGATAACACGCAATTAAGGATGAATTGGTCAGAAATAAATAAATAAAATAATTTGGACAATTATAATTTTTATAGTTTTTAAAGGTTTAGGGGGAGGGGGGCGAAGTAGTCCTGTTTATGCATTCATGTAACGATGGCCAAGGTAAGGAAAGTGGCTGTACAAATTTCTTCTGAACACACAGGTTTTGCTTCTTCAGGTGGATTCCTATTGCTTCAGCTGTATGTAGAAGAGGAACTCGTAGAGCAAAATTAAGATTAGTCGGAATGCGATTAATAATTTTAAATGCTGTATTGACGTCAACCTTATGCTCACTATCTACAAAGTGTGCTAAAATAGAGCTACGAATAGATCTTGTTTGTTCCTTGCTTAACCATGCTGGAAGATGTTAGGAAATACAGTGATGAACCTGCCTAATTGTACGCTCAATGTAGCTGGCTCCGCAGCTGCAGTCAGACTGGTAGATACACATAGAAGAGGCAAATTTAGGTAGTTTATCCTTATTTCTCGAACATAGAATAGGTGTGGTTGTGAAGAGAAAACGTACCTCTACTACATAATAACACTTTTTAACTGCATTCTTCAGGCGCTGTGTTATTATTTCGCTGATGTTGTCACCAAGGAACTGCAGTTTTATGAACATTGGTTTTTTCGGAACTGTTGCCATACTGACTCTCCTAGGTGCTGAATTCATATTTTTCTCAATGAACTTATCTGGATAACCATTTTTTCTAAGTAATTCTCTAATAATCTTAAGCTCCTCATTGAAGCAGTCGTCTGAACAGATTAACCTAGCTCTATGAACCAGAAACTTTACCAGGTTACATTTATATTTCAAAGGTATAAAACTCAAAAAATGAGTGTACTGACCTGTTGTTGTAGGTTTCTTATACACACTCCTTCTTAGTGCGCCATCGTCTTTCCTTGCCATGAAGACTTCGAGGAGTGAGATACTGTCGAAATGGTAAATCAATCTGCAATTCAAACTGTTCAAGGCTGAATTTCATCACAGTTTCCTTGACAAACCGAAATTATCCAGATCATTATGTGTGACACTTTGCAGATGATCTGTGCCGCAAATGAACGAAACTGTTGTTTGGTATTAAGAATACTTCTATATGCTCATAACGCATTATTGGTTGACATCGCTGGTATACAACTACTCATATCGATTATTCAGTATTTTTTATTATTATTATTATTATTATTATTGTATCCTTTAGTTCCTAGAGGAACATAGGGCTTCAGCTGCGCACCTCCATTGACTTGATTATTCAGTAGTATATTGCATATTTTTTGAGAAACGTTAGTCTTTTATATATTCTAGACGTTCATTACCAGTGAGTGACAACAAGCAGAAACACTATGCTAGTAGTCTTCAAATATCAAAGACAAATCAGCCTAGGAGAATAAACAGTCAAAAATAAATTTCGTGATGCAGCTTCCACATACTGTGGCGAAGTTCAACAATAGCGTCCCAGGAGTGTGAACGCTTCAGTGACCTTGAACGCATGCTAGTCGTTGGCCAACGGCATCTGTCATTATCATAGCTGAAATATCAACGCTACTAACCAACTTAGGAGCAAATTTCACCCAGAACACGTTTTTAAGTACTGTTTGGACAATGTGTTAATTTTTTAATTTAATTTTTTTGATTACAGCTTGATTCCACACTGTATTGGTACAAGTATGGAATTTTCAGCATGGATATCGGTAGCCCAAAATTTTGCAGGCCGACCATAGATATCAGGTGTGGATCGGCAGGGGATCAAACCTCGGACCATGTGCATGGTGGGTGAGAGTCCTAACCACTGTGCCGCAGACGCACGTTAGGTTTAGGATCAGGGTTAAGGTAAGTATTGGGGTTAGGGTTAGGGTTAGGATCAGAGTTATAATTAGCATTAGGGTTAGGGTTTGAAGAAGGGTTAGGATTAAGGTTAAGTTTAGTGTTTGGGTCAGGATTAAGCTTATGGTTACGATTACGGATAGATTTATAGTTGATGTCATTTATTTTAATTTGTTTTATTATCCACAATTTCCCGGTAAGTAGTCGTCTATCTTCTTGCTGGAAAGCATAATAATTCAACCGAGGGCTGTTTTGGAAGACTGCAAGCAGGATGAGAGAGATAAAGGACTCACGAAAACAGTTTATCATCTGTAGTCATCTCGGTGAATACATACATGCATAGAAACTAGTCTAACTTAGCAACTGATACTCCTTGTTGCGACTAGGGCGGATTTTTAAGCAAGATCAGAGAAGCATAACCTGTTTAATGTGTTTTCAAGCATTTTCTTGTCAACATACATCTCTATGACTGCTGTAATCTTTGTTTTTCCCCTCACCATATTATGTAAAGAGATTATATTCAATATTTTTAAAAATGCTAGGATTTCTATACCGCATATAACGGCAATACTGTGTGAAACAAGCCCACGGCAATTTTCACTTGTATTATTATTATTATTACCCTAGCTGTTATCATTATTATTGCTATTTCCATTTTATATGCTGCATGTTTTTGACACTACCTCTATTGTAAATGTGGACAATTTTCTGTGTGATTAATTTTATTTATAATTTGAGGAAATTAGATGCAATATTGTGATTAATGCTGAAAATTCCATTCTGTATCACACGTACTGTTTTTGGAATAAAGTAAATCATTATTATTGTTATTTTGAGCAAACATCCCTCATTTTTATGATTGGTCAGCTGAAGGTCACTCGTGCGTTCGCACTCCTGGGACGCTATTGTTGAACCCTACCGTCAATTTAAAGAAACTTACAGCAACAAAAGGTCATTCACCACCAAATTACACACAGGAAGTATTATTCACAACTTAAACTTTCATTCAGACGAAATGTTACTTGATAGATGGTCTGTATTATTCAGCGTAGAGCACAATTTACTTTCTCAAAACTGTTTTATTTTTCCCGCCGAGTATTGAAATCGAAACCAGTATAAATAAACACAAATCTATGCTAACAATTTAAAACAATTAAAATAATCATAAAACGCATGGAAAAAAGAACAAACAAAAAAAGTCAGTCTAGGTTTGAGGTATAACTGACAAGCTGAAAAAAAACTCATCACTTGAAATTCATTTTACACACTTCACTTATCGTTATCATCATCAACATGATCTGAATACAGCAATACCATATCATCAACCGAAATTACTCAGGAAATTTTGATGAAGTACATCTTGTCATAAATTCGCTAAATTTAATTATCTTCTATAGTTTGGTTTGTAAGGGTTTTGTTTTGTTTTGTTTTGGTTTTTGCGAGTTGATCACGGATTGATGTCAGTTAGAGAACCATTGAAAACCAGGGAGTACTGGACAGTTGTTTCATCCTAGTTTGGAAATCATCGGAAGTGCGCACCCACACTACGGGTTTCGAACCCAGGACCTTCTGGTTAAAAGGCCAGCTCGTATACCATTCATCCACTGGGACCCGATTCACTGGCCAGCCCATGAATTCTAACTTCTACCAATTCGTGATTTAGCGTGACCCCAACCAATGTCGTCGCTGGGACATCCATCCCCACACGTGATTGGATGGAGTTTCCTGGAATTCTAGTGGGAAGTCGTGACCAGTGAGGTCCACCCAGATATCACTTGTGTGGATGGATGTCCCACCAACGACAATGGTTGGGGTTGCGCTAAATAACGATAAATAGATAAATCAATAGAGTACAAAGTAGGTAAACACACTGCTTAAATCGAAGTTAATTAATTGTAATCATAAGGTGAGTAAGTAAAAATGACAGTAACGGGTCTTCGTCCCTATTAAACTGATTGGCGTAGATTATTTTATTAAAAATTCCTATTATAATTTTATTTTCTTGAATAAACATGCAAACAGCAATTACTAACTTTTTTACACTACTGTTAAACTAGTAGGCGTTAAAAAGGCTTGTAGAAGGAAAAACTGTTTCATTCAGGTGATTTTTCACTTAGCAGACATCTCAGTGTCATGTGAGTCGACTATATTATCATCCAGTTTGTAGGTAATTGAGTTTCTTAATTTTTATGTATAGACGGAGAGAGATAATACACCAGCTACTGTCTAGTAAAGTAATTTAGAAGTTGAGAAATGAATAAATTGAGAATTATTATTCTGAATGCAAGTGTCTGTGATTCATATTCAAGCCAGTGTCCCTCTCTCTCTCGAGAATACCTTCTAACAAGAATATAATGTTATATACAGTATGATTGCATGAAGGATTTCATAATGAGCTGACATCGGTTAGAGAACCATTAGGGAGTGCTGGATAGCTGTTTCGTCCTAGTTTGGGACCCTTCAGCCATACACACCCACCCACCAACGGGTTTAAACCCAAGACCTTCTGGTTACAAGGCGAGCTAGCTCGTAAACCATCGAGGCACTAGGACCCGGTCCAATGGTCCTTGAATTCTAACTTCTGCCGATTCACAACATAGCGCGACCATGTTTTCCAGTAGTTCTCTAAAACTGGTGTCAGCTCATGATGAAATCTTCCGTGCAATGAAACAAAATTCCTACAAAACCAATACTTGAATATACAGTATGAACTGACGTTTGATTGATTAACTGAATTATCCAGGTAGAGAACACTTCAAAAGAGTACCTAGGAAAAGTACAAGTAAAAGTAGAGAAAGGAAATTTGATGAAAATAAAACAGACGAGAATGTACAGTAGAAAGGGAGGAAACACCGAATGAGTGAGCTGCTCACTAATAATCAGTGAGAAGTGGAAAAGTGTTGAAATTTTCAAATCGTATGCATACGCTTGCTAGTTCGAAGTTTAAATTAATCGTAAAGAAAACATATTATCATTTTGAATAATTCTAGGACAACAGTTTGTACGGAATAAAATGGTACCATCATTTATTTTGTTGGATTCTTATCAGCTGCTTACAGCCCAAAGATATTATTAGGTATATCTACGGAAGCGATTTTAACATGCTTGCACAGAGTTCATTTTTAAACAGAAATCAATCAATCAATATATGCATACAATGCTATTAATAATGACGAACACTTTATCCCAAACAATAATGACCATGCACAATGGAAACTTTTTTTTATTCCTTTACATCCGCAATAGTTCATAGGGCTTCAAGCTACCGGCTTGAAGTTTCCGTAGCAGTGTTTATTTTTACAGGATGGGATTGCTAGCCTCATGCTCAACCTTTTCTCTTTATCAGCTTTATCGTTGGCTTAGCGAGGTAAAGGAGTGCGTCCATGGCCGGGGATCGAACCCCGCACCATGTGCATAGTGGGCGAGCGTTCTAACCACTGTGCCACCGACGCACACAACGAAAACTTTTGGATTTACGTAAACAGATGCAAGGGAGGGTGAAAATATCCAGTTTCCAGACAGCAGGACAAAGAAAGACTGATAACCGCTTCTTTCTGAACACAGAAATCAGGTTTCAGGCATTTGATACAAACTGCTTCCGCGAACTTAAGGAGAATCGAACTTTTTCCCCCCTTTGATAATTTTGAACGATCTTGCGACTTCCACTTCATGACGCATGACCCATGTGAAGGAGATGCCTAGTGATGGTACTGTTTAGGGCATTTGATACCTTTAAACATAGGCTTTTTGGTACATGTTTAGAAAATCGGAGGTATGTCCTTCTTTCTGTTCTTCCACTGTAACCGATCCCGTAGATATAGATAAAGAACTCTTCATGTCCAACCTTGAAAGAACGAATCTGAAGCATGCAAACGACGAAACAACTTCGTATTGTCGATATGTTGACAACACATTTGTAGTGTGTAACAATGAAAGTCATGCCTCCAACCTACTCAGATTATTCAACGACATACATACAAATATTGGATTTCCTATGAAACATGAAAATGATGGAAAGTCCCATTTCCTCAATATTGCCATGCAACGTCCAGAAGAGGATAGTTTCCAGATGTTAATTTACCGAAAACCTACATGGAAAGGAAAATGCCTGTATTTTAATAGTTTTTGTGCAAATAGCTTTAAACGACCACTAGTCAAGACTCTATACTATAGAGTTAGGAGAATGTACTCTACACAGAACTTAGAGGAAGAACTTATATTTCGCGGAAAGATGTTGAAAAGCGAAGTTTACCCTCAGAGGTTCATTAACAAGTACGGGAGATGTGAAGGCTCAAATGTCAAATAAATCACATTAGGAAAAAAGCCCATTTTCGTTCAACTTGATCGCAAAGGTGAAAATATTATAGCAGTTGTCAACAGAAGACTGAGGATGTCACTAGGCAGAGCCTACACTGCAGCTAAGCTGGTTCCCATCTATCGAACAACTTGTTCTTCGGTGAAATCAAAAGTCGACATATATCCTTCGCATGTTAATTCCAGCTGTATATACATGTATCTGCTAGAGCAGGTACATTGGAAGAATAGAAAGAGGGACATACCTCCGATTTTCTGAACATGTACCAAAAAGCCTATGTTTAAAGGTATCAAATGCCCTAAACAGTACCATCACTAGGCATCTCCTTCACATGGGTCATGCGTCATGAAGTGGAAGTCGCAAGATCGTTCAAAATTATCAATGGGCGAAAGAGTTCGATTCTCCTTAAGTTCGCGGAAGCAGTTTGTATCAAATGCCTGAAACCTGATTTCTGTGTTCAGAAAGAAGCGGTTATCAGTCTTTCTTTGTCCTGCTGTCTGGAAACTGGATATTTTCACTCTCTCTTCCATCTGATTACGTAATGCCGAAAGTTTATTATTAGCATTGTATGCATATACTGATTGATTGATTTTTCAAGTATTGGTTTTGTGGGAATTTTGTTTGATTGCATGGAGGGTTTCATCATGAGCTGACATCAGTTAAAGAACCATTGGAAAGCTCAACAGGAAGTACTAGACAGCTGTTTCGTCTGCTTAGTTTCAGACTCGTCATCAGTACGCACCCACCGGGGTTCGAGCCCAGGACCTTCGGGTCTACGAGCTCGCCATATAACCAGAAGGTTCTGGGTTCGAGTCCCAATAGGTGCGTACTGATGAAGAGTCCCAAACTAGGACGAAACAACTGTCGAATACTCCCTGGTTTTCCAGTGGTTCTCTAACTGATGTCAGCTCATGATTGATTTTTGTTTAAAAATGAACTCTGTGCAAGTGTGCTAAAATTTGTTCTGTATATATTTCCAAACAATTTCTTTGAGCTGTAAACAGCTGATGAGAAGCCAACGAAATAAAAGATGATGGTACCATTTTATTCCGTACAAACTTTTGTTTTTACTTTATTCAAATTCACTAAGGGGAATGCAACATTAGAAGAAAAAGCTCTGATAAACTAATCTACGCACTCATACCTCCATTTTTTGTCGATTTCTTTTAGCCCTACAACAGAATTCACTAGGAATCTTGAAAAATTAACCGCCAGATTATGTAATCAAGATGGTTCAATAGTACTTAGTTCAGAAAGTTGTCAAAGCAATGAAGTCAATCCAGCATTTCATCGAAAGAAATCTTTTAATCAGCATAAATTTGATACAGCACTCAGATTGTCAACATCCCAGTCTACGTCTTCAACGTTAACAACAACATCATCATCGTCTACAACACCGTCAAGATGTGAAGGAGAAGACGAAGCCAGTGCAGAAGACAAAGGTGTAGTAGTAAGAATCCATGAGAATTTAAATAATAATAAATACAAATGTAATAATTATAATGATATAAGTAATAAGAAAAAGAATAAAGTGCTCTTCTATAAATCAACTGGAACATTGACTAATGAAAGTTATTTACTGTTGTCCAATCAACTTGCAAATAATTCATTATTCAGATATATTTATTACTTTACTGAATGGAATCATTTAATCATTGAAGGATACTATCGTGTTAGTGATGATTTAGAGTATGTTAGTCGTCCAGACAATGTTATTATAAATTCTCTAGTTAATGACATCACCAAGAAAAATGCTACTGTTTTTGACAATTTCTCTCAATTAGTAAATGACTTACAAAATATAAAATCAAATAATACTAGTAGTAGTAGTAGTAATAATAATGTTAATGATAATATACCAACAGATGTCAGTATTAATTGTTTGATCAAATCGTCGCATTTTGAGCATATTGATATGTTAACTATTCGACATGTGAATTGGGATGTATTTGTAAAGTGGATACCGACAATTCATGAGCTACTACCGGAATTAAAGGTAACTAACTAACTCTTGAATACTTCTTTGTTATTGTTTTTCTTAACTGATTTGTAGACAGGTGTGTAGTGTGGTGAGGAGTTGTCTGCAAGCCAGAAATTGTAAACAGCGATTTACGTCCCGAATCGGGGTCATGAGAAAGACAATAGCAAAGCTTAACCTTGAGGAACTCACCAACCAATCACAGCAGACTTAGCGTGTGCAAATATGATTCGCAGATAAATGGCTTAACTTTCTGAGTAACAGTCACAAGGAGTACAGAATAACCTTTGTCATGAAAACGACCAATCAGAAGAGGTTGCTTCTTCGCTGACAATAATGTTCATAAAAATCTATAAAATATCTCTCGATTTTCTCAATAAACGATTTTTTACCCGGCCCTTGTCTTCTGTCGTTACAGTGGCAGTAGAAAAGAAAGAAAGCTGATAAATATCATCAAATCATGTTGTTTACTGAGTGTAGTGAATATATGTACAAGTGTTGGGAAAAAAATAAAGCACACACATACACAATGGAGCTGCTTAAGCTGAGTCATTAAAGCAAGGCATAACCCAACCCCTCCTCTTATAGTCTGTCAACTTGTGGATTTTACCTATTCTTCTTTACTGCTCACCTTTATTCTTTCCTGGATTGCTTAAAAAAGACTATGTCATATTATGTAGAACTCTAAAGATTGCCAGTCAGTAGGACGAGTGGTATCCCATTGGGTCATATCGTTGACATTGTCACTGATAGGCACTTGATGTCATGCAACAAATTTGCTAAAGGAATTTTGTCAGAATATGAGCACCCATTCTACTCACAGCTCCAACCTTGTGTCTCCTCAGGTAAAACAAGAAGTCTTTTCAGAAGAATTTATGCACTTATGTCTAAGTATAAAAATTCCACTATACCATATTTCGCTGCACGTACTTAATGTGATGAAAATGGTGTCAGGCATCAACTAACTAACCTTCTTTGCACTACTGAAAACAACCATTTCCTGCAACCTTACAACATCAAACTTTATTGTTACTGTATTTCTTATATTGATAATCCTCTCAATTTTTTGTTTTTGTTTATTTATTTTCCATAAGTGTGAACATAATTTAAGCTGTGTTATAACTGTTAATTTTGTATTTCCCCTCACTATACTATATCAACATAACATTAGATCCAATAACCTATAACATGCTAAAATTTCCAAATTGAATCGACAATACTGTTTGAAACAAACTCACTGTTATTATTATTATTATTATTATTATTATTATATATTTAATAATCTCAATTCGTGCTTCGAATATTTTTGACTTTATATCGTAAACGTGGACAAATTCCTCTGGTTACTTTTGTTTTAATTTTAAATTTTATTTATATTTTGAGTAAATCAGATGCAAGGTGTTGTGACAAATGCTGAGAATTCCATTCTGTATTATAAGAACTATTTTTGGAATAAAGTAGATTATTATTGTTATTATTATTATGTGAAAACGTTGATTGTGAATTTCATGTTAAGCACTTCACAAACTAAAATGGAACTAAATCATCACTGTGAATGAGAATTAGTTGTGGGATTAGAGATATTTGTTATTGCAATTAACCTAGAGTGCTGGCACACTATGAAGGGAGTGTGGATATAGACAAATTAGAGTCTAATGCATCTTTCACTTCTATTTTCTTTTCAGACTACTGACTACTTATCAGCCTTATCTCTTATTCCTTACTTGTAAGACAGGACTACAGATCCAAGTATTACTGAAGCTCATGTTATCCAAATTTAAAGTTAACCAAAAGATATATAATAATTGAAATTTTTATACAACTTCGTTAAAAAAAAAGCTGACGAATCTGTTAGAAGGGATATACACGCGAAGGAGACATTAAAACCATTACTAATAGCACTGACAACGTTAGATGTAAATACAATCAAAGACTTCCTTGATAACCTGCGTTAAACTGAATTTCTTCAGTATTAGACGACAGTCACAAAAACTAGTGGAAACCAAGGGTACTGCCTTGAAAAACCGCTTTCTCCCTTATTTAGAACTCTCTAGCCATGCTGCTATAGAGGATAGAGTTAAAAGTCATTTTTACTTAAGCTCGTATCATTTAGTCATTAGGTAAAAATTCGGCCATTAATAATTTCCATCTTATTTTAATCCATGCAACTTTCTCTAGTGGTGTCTATTCTTACACTTGTCTTGATGTGTCCTAGCCTCCATGCTTTTCCATAGAATTTCCCATAACTCATCTGAGTCATTTATTAATGAGTAATTAATCGGTGACACAATGGTAGAATGCTCACCGACCACACATATGGTCCAGGACTCGATCCCCAGGCGACGAGCTTCTTTATATCTCTAAGCCCCTAGCTTGAAGCCCTATGTTCTACTGGGAACGTAAAGGAATTTAAAAAACAACAACTTAATTCACTTCAAAGGTCTGATATCAGTATTACTTGATTGTTTTTTCAGATTAAACTTCATCAGGTATTATTTGCATACTCGTCAGCTATTTTTGGCTAATTTATGATTCAGCATAATTTTTTTTTCAATTCATATTTATATTCTTTGAAAAAAAATATAGGAATTAAATTTAGAAAGTAATGGACTTAAATACTTACATCAAATTCTTGATCTGACTGCTTTTGAACAATTGAATGCACTACGTGTTAATGGTTCAGATGGTAATCCAATTGTTGAACAATCTGGTCAATTATGGCGTCCATTTGTTATTGGAGTCTTGGTGATATTTTAAAGTTATCATTTTTAGATGATGAATTAGTAAGTAAACTTTAGCATTATACCTTGGTTTACACGGTTACAGTGTCAGTATCTGCAAAAATTATTTAGAAAAAGAATAATTAAAGGATATTCAAATGCTGGTTAGTAGGGATTTGATTGGTTACAGGATTTCATGATGAGCTGACATTGGTTAGAATTCATGGGCCATTGGATCGGGTCCCAGTGGCTCAATGGTCTACGAGTTCACCTTGTAACCAGAAGGTCCTGGGTTCGAACCCTGGCGATGGGTGCGTACTGATGAAGAGTCCCAAACCAGGACGAAACAGTTGTCTAGTACTCCCAGGTTTTCCAGTGGTTCTCTAACCAATATCAGATCATGATGAAATCCTGTAATAAATAATTAAAGGAGTTGAAATGAACATAGAGTCGGTAATATTTTGTGCGCATTTAAATGATAATCAAAACTTACAAGTATTGATTTGCAGAGATTTTAATGATTTGAAGTTAGATTACGAACTGATTTCAGCTAAAGGATCACTGGATTCTGTGATTCTTCTGTAATACGCATTCATGACTCAATCAGAGATCAGATCCAGCATCTCCAGGTTGAAAAGGCAAGCCCTTTAACCATTTACTTACTGACAGTCCAATGGCTCACGAACTCTAACTTCTACTCATTCGTGATGTATAGCACGACATCACCTTGAGCTGTAATCTACGAATGTTTGGCATGCGATTCGCTCCCGCCAAATGCAAGATGATGTTACAGGACTGGACTACATCGACGCCTAGTTTAAAAATAGGAAGTGAAGTGGTAGAGCACGTTGACCGCTTCACTTATTTGGGAAGTACCATCAGCCAGTGCCAACGGGTTGATCTCTGACGAAATCTCAGCACGAATACAAGGGGCTCGTTTCGCATTTGTTAGTTTACGCCGACTCTGGCGTAGACGAGATGTTCGACTATCGACCAAAGGGCGGGTGTACTGCTCATCAGTCCGCTCCGTCCTCCTTTATGGCTGTGAGACCTGGCCACTGAGAGTGGAAGACATGAAAAGACTAGCTGTCTTTGATCATAGGTGCCTGCGTTCTATTTCCCGTGTAAAGTGGCATAATAAGGTGAGCAACATGGAAGTTAGGCGTCGAGTTCTAGGTAAACAGGGGAAATCAATCGACGAAGTCGTGAAGCTACAAAGACTGAGATGGTTAGGACATGTGTTACGTATGCCAAGCCATCGCCTCCCTCGACGAGCAATGTTAGCGAATATAGGGTCAGACTGGAAAAAAGCTAGCGGCGGTCAAACAAAAACTTGGCATCAGTCAATGAAATCCACAACAGTTGGTCTAAGCCACGTAGGAAGGTGTAGACTTCCAGGCTGGGGTTCTCGGGACGGTAAAAATCTATGGTTGGAAACAGTTGGTGACATGGCTCAAAATCGTTCTCAGTGGCGCAGATGCATCCACTCCTTGTGACTTATGATCTCCAATGAAACTGTTTTGTTTTTCTTTATTACTGCTTTGTCTCACACCTCTACTCACTGTGTCTATTATGCTTTTCTTGTACTTTCTTCTCTTGTTTCGCGTGCTACACGGAGTGTGGCGACTTAAACTTCCGCACATTTGTGCAAAGTTCTATGTCGAAAACAGACAGACAGACAGCACGACCATCAGCCCATGTCATCGGCCAGTATCTGTCCCCATACTCAACTTGGTGAACCTCAGTGGTCATGGTAACCAAACGGAAAGACTACTATGTCATCTTTCGCTGGTACAAAAATAAAGTTTCTGAGATGTTTTTAACTTGTCTTTATTGGCTATTATTAGCTAATATTAATGGCTTTATAAATGTGAAGCCTCACGAAGAAGCTATAGTAGTGCTGGGTAGCCGGATCAAAGGGATCTAAATTGTGCATGGACGTTCCGCCCCGAGCGCTAAATCAGTTTAAAATCACCTATGTGCTTGAACGAACTGGTAATACAGAGAATTCAACTAGATATTTGAAAATTGCATAGTCGTGAAGGTTATCCCCACTGTTGACAGATACATTTTGAGTTTCTTTTTTTATTATTTCATGATCAGTTCAAAGTTTAATGCAAATTATTAGGCGATCTGAAACTATCTTCAATAATTTTTAGTACAAACCTGTTACATTTAGAAAACTGTTAAAGATAACACATCAGTGCTTTTTCTCACTGTACATGTTTTGAATAAAACTAGATCAGTAAGCAGTTATTTCTGCTACATAAGTTCTCAACATACCTAATGTAAATGGTTGTGAACTACTAACTACTAGAGGCAGGGGAAATGCCAAATTATGCAAATGCAGGATTCGAACAATTTCAAAATTTAAATTTGTTAAATTCTTTCTGTTTACATATTTGTATCAGTATCTTCGTCTGTAGAATTAGGAATTATAGTGTGTCCTAGACACCTAACTGAATCTCATATTGTACTTAGACACAGCGCTGCTGTTGGTAAGCCACACGGTTATCAGTCTGTTTAATTGATCTCTTCCCAGAGAGAGAGTTTCAGTAAATGTAGGGTGAATTTACTTCTTGTAAGTGAAATTTACTCATGACATTTAGTTGTTGCAACACTTGGAAAACTTAACAAAAAGAAAAGCCAGCTAGTACCCAGTCATCCTAAAAGTCTACAGAGTTTTACACAGATACGCAACAGTTTGATTAACAATAAGTAACATAATCAAACACTGAGTGATCTAAAAGAACTCTGAGAAATAAATACTCTTTCAAACACTTGACTAGTCAATGGGAATACGATGAATGAATATAATTAGATAAAAGTGAATGGAAATGTGAATGTGATAATGGTGGAGACTGGCGGACTTTGTACTGTATCACCCAGGATGTACAATTATCGACATTTAACACTTGTCTGTAGTCCAAATAAACAGTGATACTTCATTACTTGTCATGACGTGTTGGAATAGCCACCTTTTACTCTCTTTCAACCTCATCCAAATTTTGGGTAGTATGAGATGATGTGGCCCTTTGAGAAAAGTCTAACTAAGTATACTGCTGACGAGTTTGGCCCTAAATGAATGAAATGATTCTTTCACTCTACCATGATTAGTTTCCAAAGGGAACTGAGGTGAGCATTAACCACTAAATTGGTGGTCTTCAACTAACAAATATAATTGTTCTCTACAGTTATTTTTGTTCCTTAGTATTGCCACTTTGGTATTTTTAATGTAAATGTACAATATCACCTTAAAAGGATCATGAATAAATGGCACAGTTATGAGCATATATTAGCAAACCGACGATGTTTTTAATAGATTTGATTTCCAGTGTCATTTACTCAAATGACAGCTTTTTCTGAGCCATCCCGATTTAGTTCTGTGTAATAAGTTCGTTCTGGTTCTTAAAATTCAATGTAAAATATTTAAATATGAGTAATCAGATTTAGAAAAGTCAATCGGTATGATGTTCTGAGCACAGTTTTCATGTCTAGCACTGGATAACACAGTTTTTTATCATAAGACAATCACTCAGCGTACATAATCTGATCCTTTAGACATCTAACCAGGATTCAAACAGCTTGATAACACATCTTCATATACTGGCAATGAATGCACTCGAGGAGATAACTGGTTTCTAACGGTTACCAACTGGTTACTACTACTTTAGATGAAGAAAAGACTTATACGTCAGCATCGTCATTAAAAATGCTGAATTTCTGAGTTGTAGTGGCATTCGACATTATGCCTGTTGTAACAGCTGCTGACGTAGTCACCACTTTATTTAAGTATATGAGTTTTCATATAACATGCAGATATCTGAATAGACTCAGGTTTTCGCCCTATGTAAACTGTCAACCTTACATAGATTATAACTGGTCCATCAACCAGCTACATTTCAAGAAATAATGCGTCGTTGGCACTATGGTTAGGACACTCGCCGACCATGCACATGGTCCAGGGTTCGATCCCCTGCCGACGCACACATGATATCGATGGTCGGCCTGTTAAATTTGGGCTACCTATATCACATGCTGAAAATTCCATACTTCTATCAAAAAGTACTGTGTGCAATCAAGTTGAAATCAAAAAATGTCTGTCTGTTTTCGACACAGAACTTTGCACCGATGTGCGGAAGTTCAAGTCGCCACACTCCCTCCTTGTACCACACATAGCAAGAGAAGAAAGTAGAAAAAATACATACTAGAGACAGTAAACAGAGGTGTGAGACAAAGGAAGAGTAATAACGAAGAACAATATAGTTTCATTGGAAATCATAAGTCACAAGAAGTGGATGCATCTGCACCAGCCATTGAGAACGATTTCGAGCCATATCACCGACTGTTTCCAACCATTGGTTTTTACCATCCCGAGGACCCCAACCAGTCAGGAAGTCTACACCTTCCTACGTGACTGGCTGGCTTAGAATAACTGTTGTAGATTTCATTGACTGGTGAGGCCATGTTTTGGTTTGACCACCACTAGCTCTTTTCCAGCCTGACCCTATGTCAGCCAGCTAACATTGCCCGTCGTCGAGGAAGGCGACCGATGACTAGGCATACGTAACACATGTCCTAACCATCTCAGTCGATGTAATTTCACAACCTCGTCGATTGATTTCCCCTCCTTACATAGCACTAGACCGAGCCTAACCTCAGTATTGCTCACCTTATTATACCACTTCACACGGGATATATATATATATATAATGAGGAGGACTTCTGGCACCACCATTCCACTCCGGTTATCTACTCAAAAGTAACATAATCTACAGACTAATTGGACTAGTGTCTTGCAGCATCACGTTTTCCAGATCCAGATCAATTAGCAATACTGCTTGAATGATCATCATTTACCTCTTCATCTATTTTCTAGCAAGTACTCCATAACTTGTGTATATATTAGAGCAATGTAAAACAAAAAACTAGTTCCACTGTTTGTTGACTTAACTTTCTCATTTATTTGACAAGCGTATACAGTATTATTAAACAATTTAGTTGACATCTTCTTCGAAGCAAACAATATTCTGTGTATAGTAAATACCGTCGCTATCACTCAG